CGAAAACGTATGCAATTGGATGGTTCGCGTATTGAAAATGAAGAGGAAAAACAACATATGGAAACTAACAGTATACAACGGTCCTCACACATGTAGTGCTGAAGGGGTCAACCAAGATCATCCCAACTTAGACTCTGAAATGATATGCCAAGCCATCATGCCCATAGTAAAAACAAGCTCTCATATAGCTGTTGCAGTGTTGATTTCAGCTATACAATACTAGTATGGGTACACTGTCTCCTATAAAAAAGCTTGGTTGGCAAAACAAAATGCCATTGTCAAACTTCATGGCGAATAGGATGTATCTTACAACGAACTTCCAGGTTGGTTTAGGCTGGTGCGGACGTTGAATCCTGGGACAATTGTTGACTTCGAAACCTCCTATGCATACCATAATGATCGAGTTCTTCGCGATCGAAGCCAATTCTACCGGCTTTTTTGGAGTTACCCACAGTGCGTTAATGCTGCCAAATACTGCAAGCCTGTGGTCCAGATCAACGGGACTTTCTTGTATGGAAAATACAATCAAGTTTTATTATTGGTAGTTGTCCAAGATGGCAATCGCAACATTCTTCCAGTTCCTTTTGCTCTTATCGAAGAAGAAGATCATATTCTTGGGCTTTTTTCCTCCGAAATTTACGTGCACATGTTATCACGAGGGAAAACATTTGTGTCATTTCAGATCGCGGAGCTGGGATCAAAACAACAATGGAGTCTTTGGGTCCAATGTGGCAACCACCCTTTGTCCAACATAGGTATTGTCTCCGACACATTGCTGTGAACTATCATGGAAGGTACAAGAAGAATGATGAGTGTCAATTAATTGTGCGCATGGGTAAGTGAAACTGATGTAGTTTATTTTCTTTCAATTGTTTTAATTTTGCAAAGAAAACAAGTTAGTAAGTTATACATTTTTTGATCATGTTACGAACTACTTCCTCGAACGTTTGAATCAATGCTTCAAGATTTGCAGGCAAAGAACGAGGATGGATACGATTACATCAGCCTCATTGATAAAGAAATGTGGACGAACGCATATGATGGTGGATATCGATATGGACACATGACGACCAACTTGGCTGAGGTAATTAATTCAACCTTAAAGGGTGCACATCACTTACCTGTAGTGGCTTTGGTAAAAACTACATATTTTTATTTGGGGGCACTTTTTGCGAAGCTCGGGGGACAAGCTCAAACCTGAATGCAAGGCGGTCATGTCTATAACCCTAAATTAGTTGAAGATATACAGAAAAAAATTATTGCATCAAATGGAATGTCTGTAACAAGCTTCTCTAGAAGGCATGAAATGTTTCGTGTCACAGAGTTACCGCGACCTCTTCAAGGGATTGAAGATGTGTCGTTAAGAGTAAATCTAAGGGACAGAACGTGCGACTGCGGGTTTTTTCAAGCTCTGAAGTATACATGCTCTTATGTGATAGCAACTTGCTCGCATACACGTTAAGACTATAACCATTTTGTGGATCCCATATACCTACTATCTGAATTTTTAAGGTATACGAATTTGAGTTTCTCCCCATATGTAATGACAAATACCCTGATGATGTTCAAGATTGGCTTCCGATTGTACCAAATCTGAGTTTATTGAGGGAGCGTGGTCGTCCAAAATCCAATCGAATTCATTGCGATATGGATATTCGAGAAAGATCTAGACAAGACAGAAGATGTGGGCATTGTAGAAACCCATGACACACTAGAAAAACATGTCCACTTTTGTTGTCATCAAGTAACAATTGATGAGGAAATAATGTATTTGTTTATCAAATAATAATTCTTGTACTTTAATTTGTATTTACTTCAAGTTAATGTCATTCGATAATCGCTGATAAAGATTAAAAAAATGAACACAATCATTAAATTTTATCAAACTAATAAAATTTGGTATTTCAATATAATTTTAAATAAAACAAACTTACAATAAGAATTAAATGGTAAATGATAACCAAATTACAATAACTGATATTAAATGGTAATAAACAAAATTAACTGAAATACATTAAAAAAAAGTCCAACAAATTTAACAAAATAGAGTAAGTATTAAATGAGAAATAATAAAAAATTACAATGTAACAAAATAAAGTAAATACAAATATAATAAAAAAATCTATCGATGCCTGCGACCCGAATGTGTTCCGTAGGGCGGTGGTTGTCGGTCTCGAGGAGGATTTCTTCGTATCACTGGTTCTGACTCCTCATTATCATCATCATCACCATCGTCGTCGTCGTCTTCGTCCTGAGCAGGTACATTAGGTTGATGAGGAGCTGATGACGATGAAGCACCTCCATAGAATAAGGACCATGAAGGTGTATGACTGGCTATCCCACCGGCCTGCGAAAACTGGGAAAACTCATAAAACCCAAACATCACTAAGTGTGAAAACTGTACAGGAGGTGTCTGTCTTGCGGTCATGGGTGATGAGGCTGAACCCGCTAGATATCTAGTATATGAACCCTAAGTCGGATATACAAACATAAACTCATAATAGCCTCCAGGAGGGGTCATCTATGACGGCGGCGGCGGCGAGGTCATAAAACCAGGTGAAGGCGACGGTGGCGACATCTGGTAATGGAAAGACGGCAGCATCATATATGGCTGCGACATCATATATGGTTGCTGCATCATAAATAGCTGTTGTGAAGGTCCTGCTGGTGCATCTGAGGATGAACCGGAAGCACCTGCTCTCCATCCACGAGTCGGGGGACGATGGTGTTGTGTCGGTGAACATCTCTATCGACGTCGCAGAAAGGTCTGCCCTCGTGCATCCTCGGGAAGTAGAAACGGTTTCTCGTTACTGTTGAACCACTCCTAATAACCGTCAGCAACACTCAAGAGGTCAAGTAAAATGGGCTCTCTACGGGGAAGGCGCCGATATCGATCATCCCACAACACGACCCACTCATGATGCCTAACCAGCCAATCTGTATCTGTCTTGCCGCGTCTATCTAAGCTATGCAACTCGTCCATATTGCGAGGTACTTCCGGAATTGGTTGAAAACAACCAAACTGCCGGAGCACGCGATCAGTAGAGTGCCACTCGACGGTCGTATAACAGATCAGAGGGACCATCGCCATCCAAACATCTGATGGGCCCCTCAACTCAGGTGAGATCACCGCCCTCACATCATTAGTACAAAATGGCACCCATTCAAACTAAAACAAATATTATATAATTTTTTTATCAAAATAATAATCTAATTATATAACTATAATCTAAAATCGATTTTTAAACAATAAAATTCATACTTGTGTGCCAACCTTCTGATCGATTAGCACCCTAATTTTTTCTAAATCATCAGGTAGCTCCTGATGATTTTTCCTATCAGTAGACCACCTATTCAAGGAAAAAAATTATTATACGCTGTATAAAATTATTAATAAACAAAATCAGTTTTATAATTACCTCAGAAGTAGTGGAAATACGAATGAGTTCTTCACAACGGGACATAAAAAGGGCAATCGATACCATGCCCAAGACTGCAGCAGCAGGAGACATCCGCTGATAGCATTACGCCTGTAGTCAGTGGCTCCACACATCTCCCTGTACAACAAAGCCAAAACTGCCGAGTCCCAACTGAATGATCCAGCCAGACGAAAGTCGCTAAGATGTCGCAACCACATGCAGTGAACTAGGTTGCACGATTTGTCTGGCATCAACAACCCTCCTATCAACTGCAGTATGCATGCCCGTGCATACATCTTAACTCCATCCTCAGAGGCGTCTGAGCTCAACTCCCAAAAATTGGCATCTAACCAATTTAACGGTATCCTACCTCCGATAAAACTTTCCGGGACACGTCCTAGATTATCTCGGCACGAAGTAGTCCAGGAACCCTGCGAGATCCCTGCTATCACATCTCCATCCACCGGAAGCCCTAGGTGCATAGCAACATCCTCAAGTGTAATCGTGCACTCTCCGCACGGAAGATGGAATGTGTGGGTCTCCGGCCTTCACCGCTCTACTAAAACAGAAATAAGGTCTGGTTCTATCTTACAGTGACTCTGATATCTACCTATGTAACCAAATCCAGCCTTTACTAAATACGGCAAGACACGGCTAGGTATCACTAACTTAAGATTCCTAATAATAGGATCTAATACACGGTCCTTCTCCTAAAATTAAATAATTATACAAATTAATTCTTAATCTAATAATCATGCATTAAATAAATCAACAAATTATTACAAATAATTTAAATTAAATTAAAACGTTAAAATGTTACCATATCAGTAATGTGTCGAGATATATGATTTTCATCCAAGCGAAGTAGACCGTCTTCCATTATATATCTGCAAAAAAATTATATTAGTAAAATATTAAATAAAGTAAAATGCTTAAATAAATTAAAAACATAATATTAAAAATATTATAAAATATACCTTAAATAGAGAGAATATTTGAGAGAATTTGAGAGAATATGGTGTGATGAAAGTAATAGAGGATGTGAGTATTTATAAGGAGGATTGGGGGGTAATTAAAGGTATAGCGCGCCCCCTGTACTGCGTTATACCCCATGTGTCAGATAAATAACTATAGCGCGGATTAAGGGCCGTGCTATACCCACGTGTAAGCCATGTCAGCGTATAGAGTGGTACAAGGAGCGCGCTATACCTCACGTGGCGCCAAATCAGCATATAACGCGGGACAAGGAGCGCACTTTACTGTTACGGGTGTTAGATCAATAAATATAATCTAACCGGTGTTAGATCGATAAATATACCGATCACCGATGATTTTTCGAGAAAAAAAAAAGCCTTTGATTATGGGGGGAAATCAGCTAAAAGCCTAAAAAAGCCTTTGATTGTGGGGAAAATCAGCTAAAAGCCTAAAAAAGAGTTCGAAAGTACAGCGAGTGAGTGGTGCAATCAAGACTAACTTATTGGCTCAGTTCACAGCTATCACCTCTGAGCTTAATATTATATATAATAGTATATGAATATCATCACCTTTTCGCTTGCATACTGGGGTAGCTCCCTGTGTGCTTTTTTCACATTAAAAGAAAATGGAAGACTTTAAAAACAAATAAGATGGTGGTACTGTATCACTGTTTGTCTAATAGGATTTACCACTCTCTATTAATGTGCGCATCTGCAGATCTGAAGAAGAGAACCAGGGACCAGAAGATCATCTTAATGGCCATCTTGGATGGCTGTGCAAAAGGACGTCCAAGATTTTATCAAGGCCACCAACCATCCTGTGAAGAAAAGTTGTTTTTCTTTTTTAACAAACTCATTTAAGATTGCTCTGCAGTACTGAATGTTTCAGTCATTGATGTGCATAAATGGGACTCGGCCACTGGATTTTCGTATACCCTTAATAGGAAATGGAAACTAGAGGTTAAAAGGTACTGCAATCTAGGCAAAAACTTGATATTTCTTTTTATTTATAGGTCTCTTAGACCCCAAAGAGGCGGAGCTGTTATCAGGGACAAATCCACCACTTCAAAGAATATTTATATTAGTGGAATGATTTGAAGGTGAAGTGAAAGAGATGTTAGCTTGTCAAGAGAAGCAAGACTGCAATAGGCTAGAAAGGGGAAAGACAAGAAACCAGAATCATATTTTGGTGAAGCAATATCTCATCTCCCCCATCCATGCATGCCGATGCACAAGATAAGGAGGAGTTAGGGTTTTCAAACATTGGGAAATGGATTTTTTTGTTGTTTTCCATGCTTTTCCAACTACTTTATATACCCATCACCACCATTTGAGTGTTTTGAAGATATGGAGGGAAGGCTGTTTTGTTTCTTGTTGGCTCTTCAAATAGTAAGATGGAGTTGTGCAACGAGCAGGCCTTTAGCACCAAATGACGGCTTTGGTGCTCATCAACCAGGTTAGCTAAGCTAAAAGCAATGATTATGTCTATCCACTTACCTTAATTAGTTTATCATCAACATGTCATCATTTTTTTATCAAATCACAGACCAGAAACCAGAGGCTTTACAAGTTCCCTTGAACTCAAAAGAAATCTCCATGGAAAGAAGTGGCGCCATAAATGGCGAAGGGGAGAATAAGGTGGGGATAGGGTCAAGTCCTCCAAACTGTGAGCACAAATGTTTTGGATGCACCCCTTGTGAAGCCATTCAAGTGCCTTCTACTACAAGTAAGCGAATCCATGTGGATCCGCAATATGCAAATTATGAACCCGAGAGTTGGAAATGCAAGTGTGGTCCGTTCTTTTATAGTAGCCACAACCGACCTCGCTGCTCACATCTCAGACTTCATCATATTTCTCCTCTTCCAGTTTGATTCAGATGATCTCTTAAACCAGTTGTAAAAAAAAAGGAATTCCAAATTCATTTTGTCTCGGTTTCAATGCTCTACTTACAGATGATTTCCTAATATTTGACTGAATTCCAAGCCAGTTTATTCTTTTTCTGGTGTTATGGGCCCTTTCCGGGTATCCAATCAATCAAACAAATGAAAGAGATTGCAATTCTGTCCGCTATCGGCTCAATTATTTGTTTTATGGATCATAACGTGCACGAAAAGGAGAAAGCAAAATCTTTGATAAAATCTTATCTCTTCCACTTGCTTAGAGAACAAGTTGGATCTCATGTAAGTTCTAACTCAAACAGACCAACCCTTGTCCCCGGCCCCTCTTCAATTTCCTTTCCCTTAGACATGTTTTATTTTTGGATAAACTACATATTTAGTCATCCAATTTTTTTCAGAATTTTATTTTACATATTCAACTATTATTTTTTAAAATCATATTTAAACTTATATTTTTATTTCGACTCGCCGTTAAAATATAAATATATTTACTGATGTAATATTTTTATTCAATGATGATATGTCATTATCTTTCGATGACACCTCAATATATTTTTTATAAGAATAGGGCCTCATTTAAAAAAAACCCTCGTAATTAAATTGTATTACAGAGACACCTCAATATTATCTTTAATTTTTTAACAATATGCAATCAAAATAAAACATAGACGTAAATTTATGTATGAGTAATGAAGTGATTACCGTTTATTTTTTACAGTCAGATGTCACCTTCTTTGAGCTGTTTCGGCATAAGAAATAATAACGTCGGAGTATTCGTGATTTATCGAATATTTAAGACGAATGGACTTGGGAGTGTTGTTGGGTCAATGAAGCATTCGATTGCAGTAGTAGCATGTCGTTAAGGATTGAAATTCTAGCAGCCCTGGCCCGGACAGAACTCTGAAGTAGGGTTGTAAACCAGCCGACTCGATTTTGAGTATTGCTAAGCTCTACTCGAACTCGAAAAATTTAAAATTAGGCTCAACTCGAAAACTTGCGAGCTAAAAATTATCAAGTTCAGCTCGAACTCGAAATATAGTATTGAAACTCGACTCAAACTAAAAAAGGCTCGAACTCAAAAAAAAAATTTAGAAGCTCAAATGAATCTCGAGGCTTGAGCTCGAACTCAAACTCGAATTTGAACCTACAAAAATCTTATATTACATTTAAAAATATATTTTTTAAAATTTTTAATTATCAATAATGTATTTTTTATATATTTTTAATAGAGAAAATAACCTCAGTGACCGAAAATGCCTTATAATATACGATTTTAACCAACTTTGTTTGGATTTGTCAAAATGATCAACAAAATCGCAACGCGAACTCTAATTTTTCAACTCAGTTTCCAAATTCGCAACGCGAATATCCAGATTCACAACGCGATTTTGAAAAATGTGTTGCGAGAGTTTGAAAAGCGTGTTGTTGCGATAGTGAAAAAGTGTTGCGATAGTGAAAAATCCAAAATAAGTTCACATTTTAACTATCCCAAATTCACGTGGAGTTTGAAACAATAAAGAATGTGTTGCGATAGTGTAAAAGATTCCCAAGCCATTTGTAAGATCTTAGTTTAAAACAATAAAGAATGTGTTGCGATAGTGTAAAAGATTCCCATGTGTCTGCAATGCTCAATCCCACATAGTATTGGAAATACTATTGGGAATGGGTATTTAAGGCTTGGATTTCCCACTTCCTTGTTGAGTGGAAGAGAACAAGGGGGACTCTCGCGCACCGCCGCCGTCCCGTCTCGTGGTCGTGACCGTGGTAATACGTGTCTTCGACACGTCCGCGCGGATACTTTTTTTTTAGAGAAAATTCTTAAGAAATCGCAACGAATTTGGACTACGTAAATTTGAAAAATCGCGTTGCGATAGTCAGAATCGCGTTGCGAATCTGGAAACTAATTTGCGATACTGGAGATCGCATTGCGATTTTTTTTATCATTTTGGCAAATCGAAAAAAAGTTGGTCAAAATCGTATATTATAAAGCATTTTCGGTCACTGAGGTTATTTTCTCTTTTTAATAATGTAATTTTAAAAAATCTAAAAGTATAATATATTATTTTTTTCGAGTAGCTCGCGAGCTTTTCGAGTCGAGTTCAAACTCGAACTTTGACAGAATCGATCTCGAATAACTTAAGATCTGTCACATCTCATTTACCGTCCTACTCTAAAGTGGCGTCTTTTCTTGCATCTTATTTATTTTGGTAAATATTATCAGTATTTATAGATGTCAAATCTATACTCTAATTCTCTGGTTTTGGACTTTAGATTAAAAAGGGATTTCAGGATTAGGTTTTGATTGGATTAAAACATGGAATGAAAAACTGGAATCATTTTGGCTCATTTGCTTTGCATCAATTTCCACGAAAGTATAGAGCAGATCCAAAGAAAAATACATTGACTTTGTAATACCCCAATTTCGTCCGGGCCATTTGAATCCATTTGAAGATGATCAAATTAATATGAAGGTGTTCGATGAAGAATTAATTCAAATGATGAAGCGAGGAACCTTGCATTTGGGAATTTTAGGTGCTTAATTGGATTGTGATCATATTTGCTTCGTTTTGGAATTCAAGATATAAATTGAAGCCCCAAATTCAATCCCAAATCCAAATTAAATGTTTAGAGTCCTTGTACATCTTATAAACCTAAACCCAAATTACAAATGAGGCCCAAATCGGACCCAATTACAATGGGTCATCAGACCCAAACCTGAAACTCATCAAACCCAAAATAGGACCCGGTTGAAACATCACGTGAGCTCACCATTTTCAACCCGTGCCAGTGCCTTCACCATTTCCAACCCGTGCCAGTGCCTTCACCATTTCCAACCCGGGCTTACCATCCACCCACGTGAAGCACGACAGACAAGGCTCGGCACCCCGAGCAAACACCACCAGAAGCTCCTGCCAGGACCATACCCGAGTAGACAAGCTCGGCTCCCCATCACCCGTGACCTACAACACGCGAAGAACAAGGGAACAATAGGGGGTTAAAGCGGAAGGGCAGTAACAAAGAACAGGGGAAAAAAAAAGATAGAAGGAACGGAGGAAGGGCTCTCGGTTGGCAATCACGAACAGCAGAGGGGGGAGATCCATCGACCATTAGCCATCAAGAACAGAACCAAAAAAATTCACCAACAAAGGAGGGGAGAGACCAGAGAGGAAGGGGATTCGGAACAGGGGTAACCATTTCGAACAGAAGGGGTCAGTGATCAATTGGAGAACAAGCAAAGAACATTAGAGCAGGGGAGGAGGTCACGAACAGCAGAAAAAGAAAGAGGAGACCGGGAAAAAAAAAGAAATCGCTCCAACAACAGGGGGTTCAAGGAAACAAGAGCAAACCAGAAAAAGGGCAGAATCCACCTACAGTCATCAACCATTAGCAAGCAAAAAAATACAGCAAAAGGGGGTATCCATTTCGAGCAGAGGGCTCGATCAAAAAACTCGGGGGGAATCAAAGCAAAAAGAAACGAACCATAGCAAACAAAGAACCAGAGACCACGAAACAAAAAATAGCAAACACATCAAAGCCATTATCAACCAGAGAACCACGAAACATCAAAAAAAGGAGAGAACCCAAAAACCCTTACCTTCCGGAGTTGAAGAGGAGAACTTTCACCGTCGCTTGAAAAACTGAACCCTGTTGAGTCACCGAGGGTAAGCCGTCGCTTCCTCTTCTGTTCTGTTGTTTGTTTTCGTGTGGGTTTGAGCGGGGAATGAGGGTCACGACGGCTGAAGGGGTTCTATTCGTGGATTTAGAGAGTTGGTTTTAGATCTAGGGCTAGGTTGTTATTTTAGAGGAGGGTTTCGTTTGAGTTTGAGAGGGAGGCTGTTGAGGAGAGAATGAGAGAATTGTAAAAGAAGAGAGAATGGCGTAGAAGATTGGGGAGAGGGTTCTGAGTGGAGAACGGCGCCCTTGAGAGTTGAGAGAGTGAGAAATACGCTTAAAGTTAGGGTTTAGTTTTACCCTATGTATCTTATATCAGTTTAGCTAAACGGCGTCGTGTAGGACCCGAGTCTGTGGTGGTTCAATGCGTAAAGGCTCCCTCAAATTTGAAGGTGTTGTGATTTGGTCCTTGCTTCGAGTTTCTGTGATTTTTCAAAATGGATCTTAATTTCAGGCGCATTTCATTTCAGTCCCCTTTGTTATTTATGTTGTTTCAAGTATTTGATCTCCAAAGATTGCATGTTTATATTTCTGTTTATTTATTTTACCAGAATTTGATTTTAGTACTAAATAGTAATGTATTTAGCTTTTGTTTTTTTTTATATTTGACTTGTAGTTTCTGCATGTTATGTTTTAGTCCCTAATTACAGTTATTTCGAATTTTCATTCTTTTTGCACCATTTAGATTTTAGTTTTGTTTCCGTTTGGTCCATAAATTGAGGTTCTTATTTATTTGATTTTGTCTCTCTAGTTTGTATGTGTTTAATTTCAGTCCCAAGTGTTAGTATATTACTCTTTTCTGTTTTAAATATTTGACCCTCGTGTTCTGCATGTTGCATTTTAGTCCTGAGTGGTAATATACTTAGTTGTTGTTTTCTTAGACTTTTGACTTTCATTATTTTGCATGCTACGTTTTAGTCCTTAAATCAATGTCTTTGTCTTCCTAATTTCACTCCCATATTTTATGCGCATTTTAACTTAGTCCTAAAATCAATGTTTTTGTATTTCTGATTTTGTTTTCCATGTTTTATGCGTATTTAATTTCAGTCCCAAAAGTTGTGTCATTTAGTTCTTGTTATTTTAGGCATTTTGCTTTTATATTTTTGCATGTTTCGTTTTAATCCCTAGGCCGAATTTTTCATGTTAGTAATTTTGTTCCTTTATTTTATACGAATTTAATTTCAGTCCTACTTATGTTTAGGAATTTATTTCAATTTCAGTACATGGAATGTTATGGTTTATATCTTAAAACTCAATTTGTGCTCAATTTATGATTTTAACTTTAGAGTTTATTGCTCATTCCTCTTCAGTTCTTATGTTTGTTTGTCATGACATTTTTATTTATTTGTGTGTTCATCTAGATATAAGTTTTCTTAGAATCATTAATTTTTGTTGATATCCTCACGTGCATAAGTCGACTCCTAATCACATA